GACGGCGGCCGGGGTTGCCGCTGGCGGGCGGTCGGAGGGCCGTGGTTTTGGCCGGCAAGCGTCAAGTCGGGCATGTCCCTCTAACACTCGGAGTTTTCAAGAACAGTTCAAGAATTGTTAGGTGACGATTTTGTGTGCTCTTGTTGTTGACAAGTTGTCACTTCTCTCTTGCAAGATCCGCCTGTAGGAGGAGATACCCGACCCAAATCAAGCGGATGTTTTTCGCAGCTCTCAGCGTCTCTGGAGGCCCTCGCCAGGCACCGACACAGCGGTTCAGGATGAGAAGCCGGTCCCCGAGAGTGGGTCGAGATTTCTGGGGGCCCCGCATATTTTTGGTTGGCCCAGCGGGGGGTCCAGCGAACAGAGGGTGGGGCAACAGGTGTGCACAATGGATTTGTGGGGTTGCAATGGATTTGGGGCGTGCAATACATTCCGGTGCGTAAATGTATTGCTGGATGTTTGCGTGCAGTGCATCATTGCATCAGTTGCAAGACAAATCAATACAACTCTCTGGCGCAATACATTTGCAATACAGTTGCCCAACATCTATTGCACCACTCCCTTTCAGCTGGACCCCCGTTCGGGTCAACCAAAATACGGAAAACAACGAGACATCGGATTTCCTGATGGGTCAGAGGATTTTGAATTAGTTATACCCTAGTTAACAGTATTTGATGAGCCGTGTGTGAATATTTTAAATGTTAAACCGCAATGATAAGATGTGTTACGCATTTACACACCTATAATCCATTGAACTCCGACCCTCCAGCACTGACTTACCACAGCGTCTCGTTCAGACGTTTGTGTTGCCCCCACTCGGGACTGCGAGGTCCTAACTTGCATGCAGTTTTTTTTCCATTTCACTTGCGCTGGAAGCGCGGAACGATGCAGCATTCAAAGGACATTCGGTTTCCGTAGAGCATCCAGGCTAAACAAGCAGATGGTATGAGCTTCGTTTTAGAATCCGTGTCGTCCGCCCGTAACGAAAGCGACGACCACGCGATGCTGCACAGCCAGGAACCGCGGTGACGGAGAGATCGCGCAGCTCAAGAACTTGGATTTTTTTGTGGCCTCCCGCAGTGACCAGTCGGTCGTTCGCCTACGTCCCGAGGGGACGAATCCGCAGTGCACCTGCTACGAGATGGAGTCCTCCCTCCTCCTCCCTCCTCCTCCCTCCTCCTCCCTCCTCCTCCCTCCTCCTCCCTCCTCCTCCCTCCTCCTCCATCCTCCTCCATCCTCCCTCCTCCCTCCTCCCTCCTCCTCCCTCCTCCCTCCTCCCTCCTCCCTCCTCCCTCCTCACTCGCGCGAACCCAAGGCGGCCTGCGGCGGGAGCTGATGGGGCAGGCGCGCGCGCGGGCACTGCACGCAGCCGACAGCCTCCAGGGCAGGCCGCCTCGGCGCGGAGCAGGGAGACGGGGGCGGCCCGAGGCAGGCGAGGGGCGCTCAGGGTGCCAGCGCAGGCCGCAGCGGCGGCCTCTGGCCCTCGGACTCGCACGACAGCTGCGACGCCGCGGGGCGCGCGGCGCAGACTCGCCGCGCTGTCGGCCTCCTGCGCCGCCGCGCTCGGTCCGCAGCGTCGCGGCAACAGAACGCCCTCGTCACGAAAGTATCGTCTTCATCGCCATCAAGGGTTATGATCCAAACGTCGAGCGCGATGCTGAAGGTTATTCGGATAAGTGTCTGAAGGATCGATGGCAGCGGTGGTGGCCCGATAGCCATGGCCGTGACGATGATGATGATGCTGATGCTGGTGATGATGAGGCTGACGATGATGATGACAAGGAGGATGATAATGCAACTGATAATGCTAATTATTATGATGATGCTGATGGTGATGCTGATGATGCTGATGATGCTGATGATGTTGATGTCGATGATGACGATGGTGACCATTGCGGTGGCGAGTCCGTAGCCATTTTGGCTCAAGTCCGTAGCGTTTGTGCTCAGGACCTGACCTTTCTGGCAAGGGGGGTCCGCGGCCCCCGTCTTCGCACCTCCTCTGCCAGGTCAGACGAGGTATTTCTTTCAGTGAGCCCCTGCTGGAGCAAATTCCATTCCCACTAGGCTGTGCGCTGGTGGCATCCCTCTTTCACCATTTCCGCGCCATGGTTTTCCAGTGCGGTGGGATGGCTCCAGCCTGGGGAGGAGTGGCACACCCGTGGCCGCCTCGACAGGCATTCCAGCCATCCAACGGAGGAGGAGGATTCTTGGCGTCGAACCCCTTCGCCCGCGCCCCTGTGCCACCTGGGCAACTCTTCGGAGGAGATTGGTCAAGGTGGCAATGGTGGAGGGGACCCTCAATTTTACCCTCGGCAAGGGCGGTGGAAGTGCACCCACTGTCCGTGCAGGAAGAACGCATCGACATCAGCGACGTGTCGACACTGTGGAGCCCCTCGAGCGGACCCAGGCCACCCGCCTCGACCCCCACAAGGAGTGTGGTCGCCTGGCCAAGGTCCCCAAGGTGCTGGTGGTTTTCCTCGTCCTGCTCAGCCTGGTCTTCAGCCTCAGTCTGGGCAGTCTACACAGGTCGACATCAAGGGCTTGGAAGAGACAGAGGTTGAGGCTCTTATCGCCATGCTCAAGAAGACTGGCGACAATTCCACGGCCTCACACTATGCCAGGGTGCTCGACGCCAGGCGTGCTGCCAACAGGCAGCAGCCAATCCAGCAGCAGATCACCAAGGCTTTCAATGCGCTTCGAGCACATGTGGATAGCTTGGCCAAGGCTGTCAAGCGTTTCGACGAGATGCAGACTGCCATTGATGAGCAACGTGAACGTGTGGGCCGTTTGCAAGCTGAGTGTCAATCCGCTGAAGATTTACACAAACAATTGGTGGCGCTGTTGCATTCCAAACTTTCTGATCCCGCCCCTGAGGTCAAGGACCAGGCTAGGGACTCTCCGTGGTCTGTCCGAGCCATCCTGTCGGGCAAGTCCGAGGAGATCCCTATCACCCTTGGCGACTTGGTGGACGACCGTGAGGAGGGTGCCCTGGACATCTCGGAAGAAGATAAGGCGACAGCTCAGAACTTGGTCTCAGAGCTCAAGAAGAGCCTCCAGGAGGCCACCGCTTCTTTGTTCAAGGAAGCTCTGGAGAAGACGAACAAGGCAAAGGAGGACCACAAGGCGCTGCTTGCCCGTCTCCAAGGAAAAAAGGCGTAGGTCTGATCCTGCTGGAGATAGTGCGGGAGGCAACGGAGTTCCCTCAGCAGCGCCCGAGACCCCCGAGCCAGCCCAGACACCCACACCCAGGGCCGCGGCCTGCGCTGCAGAGGCGACAGCTGGCTCGGCAGAGGCGTCGTCGGTACGACGTCGAGCTGCAGAGATCGCTGGAGGCGGTCCTGTGGCTGGGACGGCGACTCAGACGCCTAGCCTTTAGCACTCTGAAGGGCAAGGGGGGAAATGTCTTGGGTAAGGCTTCGGGTAATTTTTGGAGGGCTTTAAGTTCCGTGACCTCGCGTGCTAAAGCTATCAGGACCCTTGGCCTCCAGAGCCCCGCTGCCAGCCTCAGTACGCCTGTAGGCACTAGTTTTGTAGAGTCTCCACTGTTGGGGTCCTCTCAGGATCCGTCTCAGATTTCCTTGACCTTCACCACGGCTAACGTCACCGGGTGGGGGTCGGGAAAAACCTTTTTGAGTAGTTGTCAGTCTCATGTTGTTCTAATGCAGGAACGCCACCAGCGAACTCGCGAGGAAGTCGACCAAGCGTCAGCCTGGGCCCTCCGCCAGGGTTGGAAGAGCCTCTGGAGCCCCGCGCGGGCTGGACCCAATGAAGGCACCCGTGGTGGTGTAGCCCTTTTTGTCAAGTCTTACTTGGGTTTACATCAACTGGGGCCTCATGAACTTTTTCGGGGCCGTTGTGTTGGCGGTGTTGTTCAAGTCCCAGGAGGGTCCGCTGCGTGTGTGTTTCCAGCCTCTACCTGATGCACGGCATCGGCCTCTCTGGCGCGAATGTGGATGTGCTGAGATCTGTGGGGGAGTTCGTATCGTCTTCTGGATTGCCATGGCTCGTGGGAGGGGATTTCAACGTGGAGCCCTCCAGCGTCCAGGACTCCGATTTCCTCGAGGTGGCACGTGGCAAGCTCCTAGCTCCCGATGTCATCGGCACGTGTTCCACTACTGGAGGCATGCGCTTAAACGATTACTTCCTGGTGAGCCCCGGCCTTAGCAAGGCCGCCCAATCGGTCGTCCTCGTCAGTGACTCCGATCTCACCCCGCATTCCCCTGTTTCTCTGTCCCTCTTCCCCCAGCTGGCCACTTTACGTGCCATGGCTTTCTTGAAGCCGCCGCGGATTGGCCTTGATCGAGTGATTGGCCCTGTTCAAGCCCCGTCCGCTGGTTTTGACCGACTCAGGCAAGAGCTCGAGCAGGCCGTGCAAGTTGCTCGTCAGGGGAAGGGCGCCGCCACCAGGGACAACCTCACTCGGATTTATGGGTCCTGGGCCGATCTTGCGGAAAAAGAGTTGGTTGAGCTCACTGGCGCTTCTCTGCCTGTCCCGGGGGCCCGCAGTAAAAATCCGCGCGTCGTGTGGCAATCCCTCACGGATTTGGACATGAAAGGCCCTCGCCACCCTGAGTTATACGCTATCCGCTGGCTGCATGCGAAGTTTACCGTTTTCTTTCATTTTCTTCAGCAAGATTGTCGTGATATCGACTTCGAGTCTGCGAAGTCTGGTGTTTTTGCTCTCCCCGCTTAGGTTTTGGCCAACACTGGCAGGCGCGCTGCGATCTTTCGACAGGTGCAAGCCTTCGCCAGCTCGGCGGCTCGTGCCGCTCAGTCCCGTCCTGGTGCTAAGGGCCTGCTCACTCGCATTGCGTCCGCCGTCGAGGCGGAGACTCTAGTCGCGAAGGCCAACAGTCGAGCCTCCTGGAGTCAGTGGATCAAGTGTGGAGTGGAGAAGGGAGCCAGGCGGGCCCACATGGTCACTAGAGCTCCCAGGTTCTGGCCCCCCACTACTGTTCTCGCTGATGACAAGGTTATTTAATCGCTTCGCTCACTCCGCC